TTTTTATGCACGTGTCAAGTACACGTGTTTATGCACGTGTCTTCGCGTCTGAGCTCGCAGCTTTACCGAACAATCCGCTCCGAGATCCGCTGTTTGCACATGAGCTTTCAAACGATTATATTGATGCTGTCTCATTCACTAAAAATATCATCACACGCTGTCACGTCACGTATGTACCGTACTAAGTGGAAAAATGTCTCATTTTTATATTTAATGTCAGATATTAGCAACGCCTTAGATGAAAATCAGTGCTTATAAAATATTATGTAATTATTTTATCTCCTCAGATTTTAATCGAAACTAAGTATGATGGTGATTCAGGATTTTCTATATTAGGGACTTTAGTGGTGTTGCTCATGCAGGATAAATAATCCTAAGGCTTAGTTCGCTGCTTAATGAAATTCTGTTACCTGGTTTCCTTAAACAAATTAATTTTGATCAGAGTAAGATATCGCTCAAAGTTTCTTCCGACAAAGAGCCTCTGTTTAAACTCCGCTTGTTTCGACATTTGCTTGAAAGTCTTCAAATATGTTGTTTAAAGTATCGTGTAACCAAGGAATTGTTTTAGATAGATAACACATGCGAATTTTAGCTCTGTTCTTATCACTTCAATGCATGTCATTTTTTATTTTACCGAAAATTTTCATTTCTGCCAAACATCACGTATGTACCGTACTAAGTGGAAAAATGTCTCATTTTTATATTTAATGTCAGATATTAGCAACGCCTTAGATGAAAATCAGTGCTTATAAAATGTTATGGAATTATTTTATCTTCTCAGATTTTAATCGAAACTAAATATGATTATACTAAGTAATGTCACGTCGATCACTTACTCAGGTTGGACGCTGGATTTTTGGAGATTTTTCAGGATTTTCTAAATTAGGGAATTTAATGGTGTTGCTCACCCAGGATAAATAATCCCAAGGCTTCGTTCGCTCCTTAATGAAATTCTGTTGCCTGTTTTTTTTAAACAAAGTAATTTTGATCAGAGTATGACATCACTCAAAGTTTCTTCCGTCAAAGAGCCTCTGTTTAAACTCCGCTTGTTTCGACATTTGCTTGAACGTTTTCATATAGGTTTTTTTAAAGTATCGGGTAACCAAGGAATTGTATTAGATAGATAACACATAATAATTTCAGATCTGTTCTTATCACTTCAATGTATGTCATTTTTCAATTTGCCGAAATTTTCATTTCTGTCTAATAATTGTTTCAGTCATCTTTTGTCAAATTCTCGCCAATTCACTCACTCATTACACAATGAACCCTCATTCAACTCTCCTCTGATGCAAATTTAAATTTTACGGACCTACGGCGCCTCCAGGAGAAGTAACTAGAATCAGAAGCTCAGATACAGATTTTCCACTAATGATAAAAAGATTAATTCCTCTATACTTTAAAAGTCCATGAAGGTTTCAAACACCCAAATAAACAAACACACACAGATGAATTGAATATATAACGGTTTGCTGGGGAAGTCAACGTTGTTTCAGAAAGATAATACAAAAGTTGTCACGAGATCTCATTCAATATCATCAACATAATGGTGGAAGAAGGAAACTGTTTTAATTGCAATATTTAGCTCAAAGTTTCGTTTTCGATTATATTCACCTAACTATCAAGTTTTCAGTATAAATGGAATTAATAAAATTCTGACAATATCCAATCACAATGGGTACCGATTGTGGATACGTACTGAAAAAAAATCCTTCGCATATTTCTAAAAAAATCAAATTCACGACATGGAGACCGACTTATACCTGTAGATCCCCGGGTGAAGGAGAATCATCTTTCATTCAATCTCGAAAACATGACATCAAAGTGACATCATCTGAATTAAAAGAAAATTCGTTCGAACTCTATTTACTTTATCACCCTATTTAACTCGCGCCTTTTTAAATAAGAAAAAGAATTGAATTTGCGAATTATATATACAACTTTACGGCATTTTAACTCAGTTTCAGTACATGTATAATACCTTCATCAACGCCTCGTGCTTTCTTCAATAGAATCTACAATTTCAGATCAAGGTTGAATCCCGAATACATCAGTAAAAGTTTGTGGGAATGCGATTGAATTAGCCTGTTTTTCAAGTCCAAGGCATAAAATCGAGACACGTGCCTACAGAAAATTTTTTCCTGCCATTAATCTGAAACGTGTTTTTGCTCATAAACTTTTTCTATATTGCTGATGAATTTGTCAAAATGGGACTGTAAAATTGGATTTACAGAAAAATGCAATAGCATCAACTAAATAACACTTAGTTTTTAGCTCATATAATGAACCTTTCAAATGCAAAAAATATAATACAGGATACATAAAACGTACTAAAATTTGTTTTCTTGCACACATCCCAACGTTAAAATTTTCGAATAGTAAAGCCCATCGTCCAAACAAAATAAAAGCTTTTTGATTCAACGATCGCTGAACTTCTTTTGGATCATATCATATGCTATACAAAATAATTTCTTTTTTTTGCCTAGAAATTGAAGAGAGCAAACCGAGTTCTGTACAAATTGCATGAAGTCCTGTATTCAAGTAGCAGCAATGAAAGCTACATGTCTTTCAAAATTAAAAGAAATAAAGTCGATATTGAACAAATGTCAAACCGTATTGCAGAAAAAATCACAACTCAAATTGCTCACATTGAAATAAAATGCTCGGTAATGCAAAATCTCCCGAAAACGGTCCGCAAAATAGTTCAGGTGAACTACGAGACTTTCTGTCCACTCTTTTATCAGTTGTAAGACTCAATTATCGAGATATATTCGGCTAAGGAACACTCAATTGAACGCCGAAGTTGCGGCAAACTCCTGCAAGTTACGGACCAGCAAACTGAATTAACGGATTGAAGTTCGAGCTAGCAAATGTCGGGCTGAAGCCCAAATTTCCTTATGAATTAACAAAAAGTAAAAAGAGAAAGTAGACGAGAAAGTTAATGACTTTGCTTCAAGACACACTGTCAAAAGTTTTTTGGGTATCAGATAGGTTTACCGAATACTGCTTTTGTTTCAACGTCCGCTGCTTAGTTTATGCAATAAATGCATTCTTAATGCGATATTGTAGTCCCCGAGGTCACACAAGCTGGCAACAATATTGGTTCAATATTGTTGTTCAGGAACAATATTTTTAGCGCATTTTCTCATTTATGGAAAAAATGCACTATTGTGCTCGCCATATCCGTCTGTTTGTCTGTCTGTCTGTCCGTCCGTCTGTCCGTCCGTCCGTGACCTCAAGTTTTCGTCGACGAGAAAATGCGCTGTCACTCACTGCAGTGAGTACCGAGTTATATTTTTTATTTGTTTATGGAAAAGTGAGGAACAATAAGTACAGATTATCTGCCTAAATGTTTTGGATGGGAAAAACCATGACAAGATGCATTTTTGTTATCTTAACGCTTCCCGTTCATGTATTTAAAACAAGTGCGAAAGTCAGAGATAGATAACAGAGAGTATTCAATTAAAGCATCCGGGCCCTTGATTTTTCTTAATTGACCAAGGGCTGGACAAAGGGCCTAGCCACAAGGAAAGTGTTGGCCCCGAGATCTTCAACAGAAATTAAAACAATTGATTTTGAAAGGAACAGAATTTCAAGTTACGTCAGCCAAATACTGCTTAAAGTTTCCGATATATATTGAAGTTTTACAGCTAAGATAAAAGTAGCACTTGAAGGTGTTTAGTGCATTTTCAGTACTTTGGGAAATTTGCTGTTTTCAGAAAATTTATACCCACTTTACGTCAAATTACCGCTTTTCGATAACATATGTCCAAAATTTTCTCAGACCACTGAATGAGGATATCAGCAGAATAGTTATCAAAAGTTGTATGAAATATTTTTTTAAATATTTGTAAGGTATTTTCCACACTATTGAACAAACAAAAGGAAATCTTGAATGGCATTATATTAGGACATTTCGGTGCATCACTTAACAGATAATCGTTCCTAACATCATTACTTTAAAATTTAAGGTAATTAGTCATCACACTGTTGGCCAATCTTTGCTGTTCCAAAAAAAAAAAACGTTCGATTCAAAATTTGAATGTCTATTTTTGTCTTTGAGCGCTATTGATTACTTTGGCATTACATGTTTCAAATGCTTTACGAAGGTAATGATCGCGTGAACTAACTTCTGACTGCAACAAAATTTTTATTTATATTATGTACATCATCTTTTCTACGTACTAATTAAATGGAGGCAAAAATGCTGAAATACTCGTAAGTTGGCATAATAGAATAAAAGTAAAAGATTTATCAAAATTTTCAATAGAATTTGAAAACTTTAAAACTTTTGAAAACTTTGAAAGGAAACTTTTTTGAAAATTTTTGATGAGAAGTCTGATGTGGTTTTGATGAAAACGTGTGAATTTATTCAATTTCTGGAATTTATTTCATTTCATTCAAAAAGATTCTGCTACCAAACAATTCTGTTTTTTTGCAAATTATTTATTGAATCTCATTCAACTTTTGACGTCCTCGGAATTACTGAATTAAAATATAAATAAATTATTTCATTCCATAACTCGATGGAATTCGAATCATATGGTCAAGAAACAGAAGTACTATTGCGGAGACAAATCAAGATTCAGTTAAAATTTTTAATGAATTTTGCAATTTTGTTAAAAAAAACATTGCTCAATGACCCTGTTTGAACGTATATCTAATTTTATCTAGAATTTTAGTATAATTTGATCCCGAACTTGTATTTAATTCATGTTTATTGGAACTTATCCGCTGTCATATTAATGTTTTAATCCTAAATTGTCTAAATTTAGATCTAGCTGATTTTATAGCCATGTTTATGGCAATAGGCATCGAGAAAAAAAAATCGTAGAAAATTGTTGTTCACATTAAATGTTATTATTTTACTATCCTTAGAAATTTAAAAATCATTTTTATTTCCGGTCGCACTTTTCACCAAAATCAGCATCCGGGTTTCTTTGAAATGCCGAAGTAAAATACACGTGAAAGCATCCTTCAGATGGGGTACCGATTAAACATCGTGCCTGTAACGTCAAAATTCTCGCGCTAAATAGTGGACAATAACGTATTACGTATAATTACTGCATCTTCGTAGAATGGTAATGATTAGGATTTCAGTGAAAATAAAGCATGATGCTCGTGTGATGGTCACGTTATATCTATTGAATTTTGAAGCCTACGCTGGAGAAAGACCTAATTATATATTGCCAAAAATTGTTTCCATAAGAGAAAACGGCCAAGGAGTCGCAATGAAATATTTTCATGATGCTATGAATCACACTACAGATGGAATGAGATTATTTTGGAATATTCTGTGAATGTCAATAATTTTTTTACTCTAAATTCAATTCATATTTTCTCGGTGACCGTAATGTATGATTTTTATCATTTGCCACAATTTCTATTCGACAGGTGACTGCTGCGCAGGTGTACGCTCGCACTGCGATATGCAGCCTTTTACTGCCAATGCTTCTAGTTTGTAGCATGGAGGCTGATATGGAATATGTAGCATTGACGACGCCTGATCCGTCCAATGATACCACGTCAGATTACGATTATTTCGTGGAAGCTACTGACATGCCTTTCATAACTCCTCCACCGCTCCTGGAATATAATCGAGATATTCTAAATGGTTATAGCAACCGTTCTGAATTAATCCAAAATTGCATCTCTGGAACTACTGACCTTGTACCGCAACGAAATCTCTCAGTGGTACCAACACCTAATGAACTCTCCTCCAACGTCACAGAGGGAAAAGGTAATATAACACTTCAACCTAATCACTGCGAACAATCACGGCGAGAAATTTCTCCTGTTGCCAAGAGAAAGCTCGTCAACTTCGTGTCACGCTGGGCAGGTCGAACTAAGAATTTCTTGAGCCATTCCGATATTGGGGAATTCGACTTTAAACTTCTGTTTACCGAAGCAATACGGAAATTCTTCCCCACGGACCTTCTTCGTCAATTAGGTATGGATGATTACATCGGCATCCTGAAGCTAGATGACATCGATGTTTCTATTGATGTCGATAAGGTTTTGGTTAAATTCCCTGAAATGTACATGAAAGTTCTGCAGAAAGTAGGCTTGAAAGTATCAACTGAAGATGACCCGCACTTCAGCCAAGCACCTCAAGTTTCCGTGTCCCAGAAAACGTGGAATGAAATTGGACACGCCGCCATAATCCCGGTAGTGAGGAGAATGTTAGAAGACGACGGTTGTTATATTGAAAATAAAGTTCCCTCTGCAGAGTCTGCCATTGCATTCATGCTTGAAATTCCACTGAACCTTGCCAACAATTTTGGTGATTCTAACGCGCTCTTCAACTACAACAACCACAGAGATGAAAGCTTAAGTGCTAGTGTGCTCGAATTTATCGACGGTTTGCCTGATGGAGTTGTTGAGAAGCTTGTAGAAGACTTTGTTGAAGCTCGACCTCAGTTCAAAAATGTACAAAAAAGTTTGCAAATAATTGGAGCTAAGGAGGACCTCGCTGCTACTATTACCACTTTGGCGATGCAACCAACGCTTGACTATAGTAAATATCTCACAGGGAAGATGAAGGACAACTTATTCATTACCTTTGCAATGACCAATCTTAACACAGAGCTCGTGAACAATGCCTTGTCGAATCACATAGCATATTTTGCTCAAACAATTCCTTACAGCGTTGGTCATCCGCTGATGCAGAAAGTGGCTGCAGCGCTTCAAACTATATTGCAATCAACTAATAACAGTACTGGCCCAGCCACTGGCATTTGGAATACTTTTAGAAATTTTGCACGATTCCCGTTGGATCTTCTTTACGAAACGTACGCTCGCAGACCATTAAGTAATGTGACTGCTCAGATTCAACGGAAATTTTTCTCGACGACTATGAGTCTACTCGGTTTTGGTGACGAAATCAACTCATTCGGAAGTTTTACGGACTTTTTGCGCGATGCCTCAAATCTACCTCAAGAACAATTCGCATTTTTTCTCGAGGATCTGCTTGGACGAATGAACCCATATTCAATCATCAGGAATCAAGTTGCACAGAAGGACAAGCAAATAAGAGATCACTTGAATTCCTTCTACCGTAAGTACAAAATTCTGAAGAAGGCTGCCGCAATTCGGCAGAAAGTTCGACAGCAATTAGATTATTTTACGAATGGTCTTCCTTGGTGGTTGATCCCGAAAAGATATCCTGTAGAGCTGAGATTTTTTTATCGCCAGGCACAAGAGAAAGACCCTCCCCAATACCCTGAACAGACACAAGCTGATGGAAGTAGTTCGGTGAGCATCGACGCTCTTCTGAAGATGGTACACGGCTTGGTTTCTAGATCAGACAGAATTGATGACGTGACAAGAGATGACTTGAAATCACTTTTACTAACGGCAATCAAAGAGAACAATGTAACTATACCGACTCGGTATACACCGTTTCACTTAACTACCGACGAGATAACAAAACAGTTATATTATGGTTCCGGTGATGCCAACAATAATGAACCTAGCTTCTGGGGTGGAATTGGGGATTGGTGGAACAGAGTGACAGGGTCTAACAGTTCCAGCAGCAACCCATCTGAGAATCCAAGCCTATTTCAGCGAATTAGAAATTGGTTTGTTGGACAAGACCAAGAAACCCCACAAGTTACCACTGAAGAAAATATCCAAGATGAAGCTGAATTAACTTTTATAGACTGGGCGCTGAAAGAATTGGAAAAGATCGAACTGTCAGCAGCGAACAATAATCCAGTAACTGTTCAATTTAACGGAACTGAGAAAAATTTTACCATTTCAGATAGTTTGACTGTGATCAAGAATTATATGATGAGAAATGGTTCAAATGATACTGAAATTCAGGCTAAAAAAGAACAGGCCGCCGAATTAGTGACTAATGAAATTTCAAAGATGTTGCATTCTGTTAATCTACCTCAAGAAAATCGTTGCCGTACAATTTCTCGCAGAATAGGCCAGTCGGAGCAAAACGAAATGTCCCTCTTCGGTGCAATGATCGAAAATCTTGAAAAAATGACCCAATTGGTGGCAGACTCTGAATATGCCGATGAGATTGAGAAAAATTTCTTGAAATTTTTCAGGAATAGCAGTGATGTTGAGCTTAAAACTGCGTTTAATCTTCTGCAATTCCCCATCAAACTGACGGAAGAATATTCCAAACTGATGCGCCAGAGAATGCTGCTAAAAGTCCTGGGATCTAATCAAAAGCAATCAGCTTTGTTGATTCTCGAAGGTTTAAAGAATCTCCAGAAGAAAGATCCAGTGATTCTCGAAAATATCAATACTTTGGAGAAGCGTCTGCTGAATGCACGTGAGACTAAAGGCATGCAAAACAACATCGCAGCTCTAGCCGCACTTCTCGCTGAAGTTATCGACGATGCTGAAATGCCTTTGTTGATCAGAAAAAAATTTATGTCTAGTTTATAAGGCAGATTTTAATGGAAATTTTAGTAAGCTATAGCATTTTTAAACGAAATGCTTGAATTAGTGTTGTATTTAATTGTAAAATATTCTTATCGAGTAATTCTATATTCAGATATAATTTTAAAGGCATTTTATTAGGAGTAAACAAAGCAAAAACCATGATTTGGCCAAATTAATAGTAAACAAGCAGCTGGGCAGATGAATGGTTATTGGTTACCAGGAATTTGTAGTCATTTTACTCTTCTGATTTCGACATTCATTATCTAGTCAAGCAACGCTTGAATCATACTTAAAATGTGTGAATTATATAACTATTAACCCTTGTCTCGATACTTGTCAACATTTGCATTCGTCGCATAATCTCGTCTAAGAATATGTGACGAAAAGCATGTGACTTTACTATCACGTTTAGAAAAAACTATTATTCTAGCAGTAACTTTAGTTTTTGCTACTAAACTGAATAGCGAACTGCAATGCAACTATGACCGGCGTTCTAGTGGTCCAAATCGTACAGAAAATTTTAATACTTTTTTAGAACTTCAAACATGCCATGTAGCAATGGTGATTTTTTTATGTTCCAAATTGTCAATATACGTAAAGAACGTTACAGATAGGATATCTCATTCTAGTTTCATTATACCAATTAAATCCTCGATGGAGCAAAGCGTTGCCAATTTAACCTTAGGTTCTAGAAATAATTTTAGGTAAGTAATTCAGCCGAAGTGTTCGAATGTTGGATAATTGATCTCGTGTTCTTTGATTTCTTTTTTCTTATATCCTCCAACATTATGAAATTTGGTTTAATATGAGAAATTCATGAATTACCCACAGAATTTACCTCTTGCTTTGAAGTTATAAATTCACATCATGCTTCATCGACAGTAAAATGAAATTTTCCTTGAGGTTAATCTAAAATTCAGAATAAGCACCCAATTGACCGAAATTGATGGAATTGCTTAGATATAAGCATGAAATAGTTATCAATCCTGAACAATTTCATTTATTTTAGTCTAATTCTTGGTTGTGATCATACATTTAAATTTAACGTCCCGGTTACCATAACCGGAATTGAACCGTCAATCTACTCCATGTAATAGTAAATTTATTAATAGATCCTTTTCCGTTAGAGACGAAACTCGCTTGTTCTCCTACTCTATAAGAAACGTCGCTGACTGATACCAATTAACGACCATTGCACTGCGGATATATAAGTTAAGTCGCGGTTTCCTTTAGACCCTCTAATCAGTGGTCCGTAAAACGAGGGATGACGGTGAGAAGCGCTGTATATTTACTTTGTCCCGATGGTATTTATAACTGATCTTTTTTACGAGGCCATTGCGCGGGCAGAATTACAGGCTCTAATTTTTATAGGCCTCGTTACTCTGAAGATCTGCGTGCCTGCGGGCCTCAGTGTCACACGCAGAGGCCATTTGTGGTCAAATGGAGCGCGCAGAATCGTCGCGTTAAGGGCGTCGTAAGCTCGCGACTCGCATCCACTCACTCAACAGAAGCGGATCAGGGCGTGTTAAAAATTACTTGTGATCCTCGATCTCACTGCCACTTGATCCTGCACTGAGAAGGACGCGTTACTGTTAGAACTGTCGCTGTTGCGAATGTTTCTAACATGAGAATTTTTTCAAATGTTTTGAAATAAATTAGTGCAATTGTCCCTTTCGATACAGGTGCGTGTTAAAAGTTACTTGTGATCCTCGATCTAACTGCCACTTGATCCTGCACTGAGAAGGACGCGTTACTGTTAAAACTGCCGCTGCTGCGGATTTTCTTAACATGCACATTTTTCAATTTTTATTGAAATAAATTAGTGCAATGGTCGATATCGATGCAGGTGCGTGTTAAAAATTACTTGTAATCCCCGATCTCACTGTCACTTGATCCTGCACTGAGAAGGACGCGTTACTGTTAAAACTGTCGCTGTTGCGAATATTTCTAACATGAGAATTTTTTCAAATGTTTTGAAATAAATAAGTGCAATTGTCCCTTTCGATGCAGGTGCGTGTTAAAAATTACTTTTGGTCCTCGATCTCATTGCCGCTTGATCCCGTACTGAGGAGGACGCGTTACGAGTGAAGCTGCCACTGCCGTGGCTTGGTTATTAGCAATATTTTATATTTTATATGGTATGAATTACAGCTAAATTTTCCCCTTCCGATACAGAAGCGTTAAATTGTTAATGCTAACCACGATTTTTCCAGCAAATAGCTATTGATTTAAAAAAATTGTGTTATCAAGTACGGACAAACGTGTGATAGGCAACCAAAGTCTACCGATTAAGTATCACAGTCTTGCATTTATTCGAAACTGTAAGAAGGGATTAATAGCGTTCTGAAATGAATTGAAATCCACAACATTCAGACGTGTACGCGTGTGCTTAATTAATATTTTGTTTAATCGAAACATTCAAATTTTCTAATCATTGGCCCAATCAGATTTCGATCCGTTTGGAGGCAATCATTCTGCTTACACCTGTCTAATTTCACATTTCTCTTAATTATATAACTGTGAATTAATTAAACAGCGACGTGGCAAAGAGTTAATTAGAGAGTCGTGTTTGATAATGAGGCCTACAGATTATGTTAAGGTCAAGCTTTGCAACTAATTAATACGACTCTGCAGCAGTAACTTACAAGCAGTACAAGCTTTGACCACGTAAAATATTTCTGTAGGTTTGGTTTTTCATCAATTTGAGCGACTTGCAATGTATGTTCCGTTTCAACAGTAATACAAGCTTGAGGTTACTTTTTTATGATTCTATGGTACAATTTATTAAATAAATTATCCTATTAAAGATATGGGTGAACGAAAGAGATGCGAATGTAAATGACGATTATGTCATTTTTCTATCTCTATTATGACTATGACTTCTTTAGCATTTTTTCGCTACAAATATTCAGGAAGTCTGGAATGACTTATACTTTATTTTATAGCCTAATATCTATCAGAAGTTGCTCGATAAAATCTGCTTATGATACCGTCTAGCGTTGATAACAAAATATGCCGCCTCGATCGCAATTCAGTGTGAATATAGCTCTTACAATTTTCAATGCAATTTTAGTTGAATGCATCGGTATTTTGTGGTTCTAGTACATGTTTCCTTTACCGCTATGCCGTAGAAATAAGTACTAAATTATTACGAGGAAATAATTGATCTAGAGTCTCGATGACCTCGTAAAATATAAAGTACTTAGATGATAAAAATTAGTAACAATAAATAAGTCATTCGCATCGCTTCCAAAAATATGTATTACAGACGAATTTTACATTTGGAATTCAACAAAGGGAAATACGACCCGGCGACTGCGAAGTTGCTACATTTTTAATCTCTATCACAAGCTTATTGACTTCAACCGAAAAATAACCGAGCTTGATTGAAGAAAAACTTTAATTTCATGTACAATGGAGTCGGCAGAAATCAATTGGCGATTTTTATTATGTCTAAATTTCTTTAAAAAATATCCTGGAAGTATTTTTAATACCGCAGGCAAATTTTCAAAATCAAGTTAGTGAACAAATAGAAATGATGCATAGCAAAGCGAATGAAGGAATCATCACAGTGACTGGAACATTCTACATTTAGATTAACGAATCAACTAACATTTTCCACTTACGTCCAAAAGTCATCAACGTAAACTGAATTCCATAAAAATACGAGCTCCGACTCTCGAAGTCGCTTTGAAACTTTACAATAGCAAGTGCGCTCGTAATCTTTAATCTTGTTTCCGTGCAGAAATGCACTTCTTTTAGCATGAAGGTCTGCATGCTAAAAATTCTTTGAACCTTGAATTAAAATTAAAAAAACAACTGGCGTGATTCTCCCCCAGATATCGCTGCCTTGCAGTGTATTTTGATGCCCTTGAGAAAAAACAATCCTACCACGTGTGCCTTGAAGTTGCAAAAATGTTTAATTACACAAACACTATAAATATCTACCAGTATTTGATGTGTATTTTGGCGACACATGTTTACGCAAGTTTGAATGAAAAAATGTTCATAAATAAAATGTATGTTTATTTCTGACGAAAACCTTGAAACCTCATTATTTTCAAATAACGAGAGATAGGAAAACTTATGCTTCTATATGATACGCCTTCAATATAATTCTCTTAATTTGATATTGTACAACAATTGTAACATGCCAGGTTAATTCTGCTCACCGTTTAAGAGCAATTATTATGGACTTTTCGTAGGTATTACCCCCTCCTCTTCTAAAATTGAATGTCTCCTGACTTTCGTTAGATTCATTCCAGGCATATAATCGAATTTAGTAGGATTCCTGGGATTACGTCAGCGCAAAAATTAAAATAAGATTCGAAAAAAACATCATGTAAAATTAAAACAAAAAAATTCAACTCCTGCATTTTTTTAAGAAGAGTTTCTATAGCCTGATTTTAGAGTTCAATAACAACACTACTCGATTTTTCAAGGTTTAAAGTTTATCAAGTTATCACAAAGTTTTTCATCTTAGCATAAAAATGTCCGAGTCAACGAAATTATGAAGCTGCTTATCGAATTATTCAAATTTTAAATATTTATATATTTTCGGTTTATGCATGCGGTGTTTGGGCCCTGCGTGGTCACTGAACAGCTGACTGCTCACAGCTCTGTACGCAGATGCATCAACTTTATAACCAGCATTATTTACACCGGCAAATTACTAGACTATTTTTAATCTACTCAGCTCTCCTTTATATCGTCGTGTTCTATGGAACCAAATATTAGAGGTTTATTACATAAGACTTCAGCCGCAGTTCGCGAGTGAGTGAACAAAAGTATACTATAAAAATATTATACAATGTGCAAATAATGTTTATTTCCACGCATGTAAAAATTGTACGACTATATTTACGGCCCCCATAAAGTGGATGTTTTCCATGAAGGGAAGGTTTTCTTCATGTTTTGTTATTATTGATATTGAGGAGGCTTATGGTGTCAATTACCTCTCATCGTAGCGGCCTCGGTGTGAATCGAAACTGCAATGCTGACGATCTTGAAAACTTTAACTT